CCCACCCGCGGCTACGGGAGCTCCTTCGCGGGCAGGTACTGCTCAATGCAGCCGCGAGCCGCGTGCCCACAGCGCTGGGCTCGGACTTGTTTTAAATTCCAACTTTGTGACTGTTTCTGTGCTCTGAATCACAGACATTGTTTTCTACATCCAGCCCGCTCAGTAGTGCAATAATTTGCATTTTGGGTTGGTTTTTTTTGTGTTCCTTCCCCTTTCTGAGACGCTGCGCAGGGGGCAGAGCAGCAGCTGCCAGGTGCCATGCAAAGAGGCACATACATCCTGGGAGATCAGACGGGTATTTCTGTATGACCTCGCTTACAGCAGACCTTGGCAGCCGTAAGGTACTTGTAAGGGCTGTGAAAAGTCAGCTTTCGCTTACAGAGGGGTGTAAAACCCTCCCTGGCGCTGGCTGGGGCTGGCTGTGAGGGCCCTGCGAAGGCCGGGGCACAGAGGAGCCTGGCCACACTTGGGTTTCGGGATGCCCTCTCTTTTCTATTGCTCCCCTTGCAGAAATAGGAGCGAAAGGTTCAAGGTAGGCGAGATCAATTTGAGCTCAAATCTGACTGCGAAGGCTGAAAATGTTTCTCCACAAACACCCAGTTGAATCACCAATTCACCATCCATCAAAAGTGTTTGCAGCCCCTGGGATGCACCTTGATTCCCTCCTCCCTTGAAAAGCTGTTGAAGCAAACGCACCCTTCCCAGATTTCTTCCTTTCCCATTTCCCTTCCACGCCGAGGTCTCGTGGTGCGAAATGTCACCCTGCATTCCTCTTGGACACCACCTGCCCCGTGCTCATCTCATACAACACGTCCCTGAATCAGCCAGCAGAGAACAGGCAGAAGTGGGGAATCCACCCGCGGGATCACCCCAGGAAGGCAGGGTCCCCCCCCTTGTCTCCAATACCGATCCCCCCATGCCTGAAGCACACCAAGAGCCCAAGTGAAACGCTGCCATCACGCACAGAGGTTTCATCCCTCTCCCCTTACCTTCAGCTGCTCCAGGCTCCAGGATTTTTGGTAAAAAAAAGGCTCCACGTGGGGCCCCGATCCTAGACTCCCATTTCTAGCAGCTTCCCTACCGCTGCCCCACGCAGTCCGGATGAGCGGGTCCACCTGCACGCTTCTCGGCTGCTCCTGCAAGAGCCCGGGAGGGAGAGCTGGAGTAGAGAAGATTTATTTTAGCTTCAGTTTCTTTCCTCCCCCTTTAGAAAGAAGAAACAAAAGCCCAGAGGTATGTTATATTAATTTATTTGGGACACACCAAAAAAGGAAAGTCAACAACTGTTAACGTACAAAAGTACAGAATCCTGGGACAAGATTTACTGTCCTGATTAAAAAGGCACCATGGTCCCAAAGAAGAGTAATCAGAATACATCATTTAGAAATCTTCCCCCTGTTGCAGCAGAAACAGAGCCAGGCTTTGGCTCTATCCACAGTCAAACCCAGTTAAAAAACCAAATATGATTTAAATGTGATAAACACTGCTCAGCCTGTACAAGATGTCATGAAAAGAATCACAGCCTAGAAGATGGTCGGACTTTTTTTTTTTGCTTTTTTTTTTTTTTTCTTTTTTAAAACAGCAAAGGTGACAAACCACTAAGTGTATAACTGAGGAAGACAGCAGACTTCTGACGTCTTCAGCTCGACTTTCTGTAAGACACGTCAGTTAAACTGAAACCAGTAGGCTGAGTGTGGGGCTTCTGAATGAAATGTAATTCCCTGTGGTATACAGGAAGTCAGATTCGACAACCTTAAATTCCCTGAATCCCTGAAAATCATAAAGCACTATACAGCTGTGTTCCTTATTCGAGTCAACCCTGGTGGATTTGCTTTACACAGGAGCATTTATACCGTCAGCTATCTTTGTAATACAAAGGGGGTTTTACAGCAGTTATTAAAAAAATTCTACTTCGGCGAGGTCCGAGCTTGGCTATATTCCCTGCTGAAACAGAGCTGCTGGTGTAAAAGCCCAGTGAGAGGCTCAAGTCCAGCATCTCAGGGCTGGAAGGCAAATAGTTTAAACGTGACATAATTTGCACGGGGAAGTCAGTGAAGCACGTCAGAGAGAGGAGGAGAGAGAGGGCTGCAAACCCTCAAGCAGCGGAGGCTGAAGGGTGTTGCAGAACGTGGGTGCGTGCTATTAAACCTGTAACGACACTACGAGTGATGCGGAATATACTCAGTTCACTAAATATTTTGGAGCAACTTACCATGAAGAACTTCTCAGAGACACAGAATAAGGATCCCGGCAATTACTAACGAGCAAGGTCACTGGGAAGCCGATGCATCGCTCGGAGCCGGACGGATCCCTCCGTAGACGGAGGGTCGGAGCAGAGGTACGCCGGAGCCTGCCTGAGCAGCGCGGCCGGGGCTGCCCCCGGCCCTTTGGCGCCCGCGGCGCGGCGGGGGCTGCCGCCGCCTCTTGCGCTCGCTAGCTCTGCTGTGTCCCGGTCGGACCAGCAGCTAATTTTCGTTTCATTCCTCCTTTGGCATAGGACTTCAAAGCAGTCCAAGGACTGATTCATCAAAAGTAAAGGAACTGTCAAAATTATTCGTACATGCATTTATTGTTAAAGGGAGCAAAAGCCAAAGAATGAAACAGCACAAGTTAATGTCAGTAAAATGATGTGCAGGACGGAGAGGAAAGAAACGGGGAAAAGCTGAGATACTGGAGTGGGGAAACCAACATTCACACTGAAAGGTAAATTTGAAAACCAGGCAAGTTTGCGCTCTTTCTACCAGAGAACTTCTGTGGACAAATAGAGACTTGGGGTTTTTAATTTTCAGTGTAGTCTGGCAAGATTTGGGAATCTCACCAGAGAGATCTCCAGCACTGGGTTTCACTGAAAGTTCAAGTCTCTCATCTTTAAAAACCAGTAAAGCAACTCTAACTAAAAACGGCAGATACCCTCGTACTGCGGGTATCCAAAAATCACAGACACGTCACTGCTCAGGATGTACGTGGGCAAGAGGGTTATGCTTTGTTCAAACAAACTCCGGGTGGAAAACTACCGTTTCCACCCTGCTGGTCTGCACGGACCTCGGGGGGCGGAATAGCAAGCCCAGATTCAGGTGCCTTTTGCTGTAAATACCACAGCTACCCACACCTGGGAAGGCTGCTTCTTCCCTATATCCTAAGAAGGCAGGATAACAGTTTATAAAACTCTTCCCATCTTAAAACTAAATAATGCAATTTGCATCCTTCCCCCTATCTTATCCCCCCCCAGAAGATAAAACATTACCACTTCATTTAGGATTCACACCTCAGATCCTAGATTAGGGACTTCATGTTAAAACTCATCCAATTATGGGAAGGTTTATCCTGATCAAGGAAACATCATTAAAATAGAATCTAGAATAAAACATTCAGAATCAACAACGCTTTTACAGCCAAAGCACTCAAATGTCTCCTGATCTCTCTCTCCCCCTCCTCAAGCAAGAGAGCAATCCCTTCACAAAACCGCAGGGTGCCCCTCCGGGACTGGGTAATACAAGCCGAAAACCAGCTTCCTTCCTCGCAGAAATGCCAAATTCTGCTGAAAGGGGCTGAGCACCTTCCACTCCCACCGAAACCAGCAGGAGTTAGGGCTTTTCAGCACACAAATTTTCTATTAGCAACAAGTCCAAGTTATTTCCCTGCAGTAAATCCGAGTCCTGTTTCGTACTGTTAGGCCACCACTGGCTCAGAAATGGTGAGAGACTTCCAAAAACCCACTGATGTAGACAGGACCTTGGAAGAAGAGGCTTATATGCTACGTAACCTTAGATCATCTGCTGTGTTTGAGCCTTCGCATCATTAGCCGCTGACTACTTATCCTTCCAAATTCACATGTTTTAGTCCTTGCCGCTCTTGTCATCATCCCAGTGCTCCTCCCCGGAGGCAGGATGTTCCTGAGCTCTGGCTTGGGGATCTACAACAATCACTTCCGATTGATGGTGGGATTTCAAACTTGCCTAACGTGTGCCACCTCGTACTCCAGCAGCTCTGCCTGCCGACCGCGGCATGCGCTAGCAGTTTTCGACCTTCTCCACAGTCTCGTAGAACCCAGGCCTAACTCTCCTGATGCTCATCCGTATATGCTGGCACTCCAGGGGCATGGCGGCGCTCGCAGGAGTTGTGGTGCACCGGCGCTTCCTTCTGCCCCGCAGCGAAAAGGCCGGAGCCCCGCCGTTCTCCTCCTCCGCAGGGTAGGATTCATCCACACTCGTGCCTTCGTCTGATTGCTCGTCACTTTTGTATTTCACTTCCTTCGCTTTGTTGCCTTCCTTCTCCTCCTTGGCGAGTTTTCTGAAGTGCTCCAGACATTGTATCTTTTGTCTTCTTTCCATCATCTTCAATTCTTGCTTGTCTGTGAAATCTTCATAGTACATTTTTCTTTCGCTTCTTTGATCTTCAAGAAATTTCCACTCGATGCTAGTCATTTTTATTCCACTGTATTCCTCCAGTTTATTTCTCATCTGCGCATCTGTACAAAATACATCAAAGAGCTTCTCCGAACTCTCATTGAATTTGTCTGCTCGCTCAGTAAAAGCCTGGTTCTGTCTCTGCTTTCTGGTCTGATACAATCTGGTAAACTCCTCGTACATTTTGAGGATAAGTTTCTTTATATTTTGCGTCGCGATGGTGTGCAAGTTGCAAACCAACCAGTGCTCTTGCAGGTGCTCAGCGAGCAACTGTGCCGCATCCTCTTTGGACCGCTGGGCCTGGCCAGCTCTTTTGGGCTGCAATAAATACAGCATATTCTGAACCACATCCTTCTTGGTTGGCAGTATTCCCTGGGTGAAACCCGAAGACTCTACATATTCAACAGTCCCCAGAGTCTTCCGTGCTCTCCCCTCGGTATCCAGTGATTCCATCACTGCTCGTTTATCTTGTAGTTATGACATAATCTGAAAGACGAGGGGGG